CAAATCTGTGGTCACTATGGTGAAAGGGAGGCACAGGTGTAATGAGGGACAGAAGAGGGTGTTCATTGCGCTTGTCACCATATTTGGACTTGGAGAATTATAATAGTAGAGACATATTATCTATTTAGCAATTCCATTTCTGGAAAATGGTCATTGCAACATTTTTTTTATTTTTATGGTTTCCTGTCTAGCAAGTATAGAGGAAGGGAGTTATAGTTATATAAAATACCTTACAACAATAATGTATTTTTGGGTGAATAAAGAGAAACATACTTTTAGAGTTTGGTCTTAGAAACATGTTATAATTTATCATGTTGCATTTAATTTTCCTTTAGAATTATGCAATACTTTGAGTAATCATGTAAATTCCAATAAAATGCACTAAAGCTTTTGGTTTTAACATAAAAAAAAATAGGATCAATTAAGGGAAAATTATACATTTGCAAGGCACTTACTGTTAACTGATTATTCTGACTGCATGTAAATGTATTGAATTTTGTTCCATAATTGTTAAGAGTAAGACAGCATGTTTTGTAAATTGAAAAAAAAATATATATATATATATATATATATAATACATAATATATATATATGTGTGTGTGTGTAATGTTTAGTTATATATTGTACCATTTTGTTCCAATTTTCTCTCTCACCTCTGGGCTCTGGCCCTTCTCCCTGCTCCTCTTCCCTCCAGGACAAGACGAGTGCTCTTAGCCTCAGCAACGTGGCAGGCGTCTTCTACATCCTGATTGGAGGCCTGGGTCTAGCCATGCTCGTGGCACTGGTGGAGTTCTGCTACAAATCGCGGACCGAGTCACGCCGAATGAAGGTGTCGACCGCGCGAGCCGCGGCAGCCACAGCCGCTCAGGCCTTTCACTGCTCAGCCTTAGAAAGTGGTGCTAGCGCCCCCTACACTGAGCTGCAGGGCTACGGCCTGTACGCCAACAACACTGTTAAGATATAAGGGCAGAGCACAGCCATGGGGTAGGAAACGCTGCGATCAAACAATGATGATGATGATGATGATGCGTCTTTCTCCACCCCGTCCTGCCCATCTAACCGTGACCACGATAGGGCCGTTCACGGCTTCCACCGCAGTGCCAACGCTGTCCTCTACCTCTCTCTACCTCTGCCGCTGCCTTGCTCAGTCTTTGTTACCGACTTTCTCCGGTGCTTTTCAATCACTTGATTTCAAAATTGCCTTTATGCCTGTTTTCTTTAGGGTCTGCAAATATTTTTATGTCTTCTCTTAAAATTTCATGGTTTCATCTGGGCTATTCCATATTATTTCAGTACCTGCTCAATAAGAGAGAAAACGCTGCTTCGTCCCATGACCTGACTCAGTACAGATATGTGATGTCATTTTTGGTTGTTAATAAGCTTATAACTAAGGAAGCCGAGAGCGGTCGTACTCGACTTTTTTTTTTCCTTTGCCTTCTCAAGATAATGACAAAACTATCTCGTTATCACGGTTAAACCATGAATTGTTTTGTCGTTATCTTATCAGGAGGAAACGGTTATTGATTTCTTGAGATAACAAGTTAATTAACCTGTATGAGTAATGAATGAGGCTGGCCAACAGCCCTGGATTCCCAGTCCATCCATGCCTGCGGGGCCCCTAGTTGTGCAGTCGTGGTACCATGTGTGCGCAGATAATCAGTTTTTTTAGTTTCCTCTTTCTTTTCACTCATTTTCAGGTCGTAGTGGTTGATTGGTTTTATTACATACAGTAGACATTTCTGCTCAGAACTTTTATGGACAGAATTTTTAGGCACAGCCAAGCTGTTGAAGGGATCCGTTTTGGTGGCCTTAGGATTGCGTCTCTGTTATTTATAGATGATGTGGTTCTATTGGCTTCATCAGGGCGCCATCTACAGCTCTCACTGGAGCGGTTCACAGCCAATTGTGAAGCGGCCGGGATGAGAATCAGTGCCAACAAATCCGAGACCATGGTCTTGAGCCGGAAAAGGGTAGAGTGCCTTCTCCGGGTTGGGGAGGATGTACTGCCCCTAGTGGAGGAGTTAAAGTATCTTGGGGTCTTGTTCACGAATGAGGGGAAGATGAAGCGGGAGATCTCGATCTCAGAAAGACCTGAGCCAAAAAGCAAAGCTCTCGATTTACCGGTCGATCTACGTTCCTAACCTCATCTATGGTCTTTGGGTCATGACCTAAAGAACGAGATCCCGGATACAAGCGGCTGAAATTAGTTTTCTCCGTAGTGTGTCTGGATTCTCCCTTAGAGATAGGGTGAGGAGCCAGTTGAGGTGGCTCGGGCATCTGGTTAGGATGCTTCCTGGACGTCTCCCTGGTGTTCCAGGCACGTCCCACCTGGAGGAGGTCCAGGGGGAGACCCAGGACACGCTGGAGGGACTATGTTTCTCAGCTGGCCTGGGAGCGCCTTGGGATTCCCCCGGAGGAGCTGGACCAAGTGGCTGGGGAGAGGGACGTCTTCAATCTAGACTCATTTAGACTCATATCTTCTACCTGTTACAGGCGTAACACCGGGGCTGTTCAGAAAACACCCGACACTAAGGCGCCGGAGACATAGGTCTATTTGCTTATGAATCAGAAGTGGAAGCAAATCATCAAACCACCAACGTCGTCTCGTTATCTAAAAGTTAAAAACAGGATTATTCACAGAATCACACATAGACTGCCATGACTTATAAATCCTCTCCCGCTGTTGTGGTATTGAAGGATGTAATCAGTTTTAACACACACCAATCATCTCGTTATGATGAGAAATCGGCTTTTGTTATCTTTAGATAATGAGAAAATTAACTCGTTTTCTCGAGAAAGCATGAAAAATCAATAAAAGGGACACGACCGTTCTTGGCTTCCATATTTAACAGTGACTTAGATACAAAAAAAAAGAGCAAATCCCTACAACAGAGTCGTTGACAGGACTTGTTCGTTATAGTGTTGTGCAAACAATCTTGTTCACCATACTTTCAATTTAAATTCAACCTGTATTGTTATATTTAGTACAAAAATAGTTATTCCAGCTTTCATGTGCAACATAACGTAAAAACATGGTAAGACAAAAAGTAGCATAGTGTGACTTGCCGTATTATTACCATGTTGTTACATGGTTATTGATGTACTGTAAAAGACAGCGTTACCAAAATACTTTAGAGGGAAAAAAAACTACTAGTTATATTGATGAGACAAAAAGTCTTGCTGATTGAACTTAAAAAACAAAGAAATCAAAGATGACCTCTGACTTTTCAGCACTGCTTATCAGATTAAAGTTTCATCCCGCTCAATTGGAGGGATGTCAACAAGACAGATTGATTTGGGCTATAAAAAGTAAGCGTGCAATTTTTACTCTAACTTGTTATATTAGAAAAAAAATTGTGTTTTTGCTTATCTGACATCGAACGAAAAAATATTCCTTTTTTTTTTACTTTTTAAATGGAGGGTGAATCTATTTTTGTGTTGCTTTGTCAAAAGTCATTTTTTTAGGTATCTTGGTAGGAAAAGAATTTAAGAAAGTAATAAGGATGCAATAAATTGGAGCAAAGTTAACAAAATTACAGCAGCATAAAAAACTAAATAAAAGAGATATAATAGAAAATATATAATATAAATATAATACGTGTTCGTAAAAATAGTTTGTAAAAGTATTCAGCAAATTCCTACATTCAGCATATTATACTTGCAGTTAGAATTACAGGTTTTTAATATATTATTTGTAGAATTTCGATAAATAAGAAATAATTTTCATGAATTATTAGTGTCAGATATCATTTTTATCTTTTTATCTTGCTTTAATCATTTTAGCTGACATAGAGTAAATCATTAGAACCTTTGCTGGTAAAAAAAAACAAACAAACTGTAACCCACACCTCCAAATTGTGCATCTAAAGCTACGTTCACACCGCAGCCTGAAGTGACCCAAATCCGATTTTTTTGCCCACATGGAACCTGGATCTGATCTTTTCATAACTGTCTGAACAACACAGATCGGATGTTTTCCAATCCGACCCAGGCCACTTGGCTATTTAGTCCTACATCCGTTACGAATTTGATCTTTTCAAATGCGACCTGCGTCACGACCAGGTCGCATTTATCCGACCTGAACGTTATTAGTAACCAACATAGCTCACTATTCTGCTTCTTGCTAAACACAAGCGGCAAGAAAAACAAACCATGGTGGACGATGATGCGGAGAGCAGTATTTATGTTTAACCATCTTGGAAAGATTGAGGTTTCAAGGTTTGGAAAGATTGCGAGAAGCAGACGTCAATGTTTGCTTCCATAAACACAAAGCACGCTGGCTTGTGACAACGACGTACATTTGGAAATGTTAACCCTATAATGCCAAATGTATCATATTTGATACATACGGTTTCTGAAATG